GGGAGCTGGGGTTGTTTAGTCTGGAGAAGAGGAGGCTGAGGGGAGACCTTATTGCTCTCTACAGCTACCTGAAAGGAGGTTGTAGCGAGGTGGGGGTCAGTCTCTTCTCCCTAGTAACGAGTGATAGGACAAGAGGAAACGGCCTCAAGCTGCGCCAGAGAAGGTTTAGGTTGGACATTAGGAAAAACTTCTTCACCGAGAGGGTGGTCAAGCACTGGAACAGGCTGCCCAGGGAAGTGGTTGAGTCTCCATCCCTGGAGGTATTTAAAGAACGGATAGATACGGTGCTTGAAGACATGTTATAGATGGACTTGGCAGAGATAGGCTGACAGTTGTACTCGATGATCTTAAGGGTCTTTCCCAACCTTGACGATTCTATGATTCTATGACTGCTACGTCTTATTCAGGACATGTTTGGTAACTAGACTTCCTATCTGTCTCCAAGTCTTGAGGCTCCTTCATCAAAATGGGTAATGTTGAAGAACTGAAAGTGGCACAGTATGCGTACGTGGCCGATGGTGCGTGCACAGCTTTGGGTGGGCTTGTGGGAAGAGCAACAGCTGAACAGCTGTAATCTCTGCAAATACTGCCATTTCTTTTAGTGCAGAACAGCTTATGTTCATCGGACCTATGAAGCTTTGCAAAGGCACCTTTGTAATAACATCAAATAAGATAAGGCACATTTTGTAATGTAAAACATTTAAAGGAGCCTCAAAATGGCACACGCAAATGGCGAAGTTTTGTCATAGAAGGATCTTGTTATTCTGAGAATATGGAAGTTAAAAAGGCAACAAAGAAATGTGACGAAAATTTTAATATTATTAAAATAAATGAAATACATTTTCATACATTGAAAAAGTTTGTGATTGGATAAGTTCACTATATAGGATATAGTTTTCTGTCCAAAATAGTGGGTTTGCCTTCCCTGAAACGAATAGTTCTTTCCCAATTACAGGAAAGAACAGTGTCCCATTTAGATAAACAAACTGAGCTTTCTACTTCTTTTTCCTGGGGCAATAGTTAAAAAAAATAAATTTGAGATTCTATTGTGACATGATGCAAGTGCGTTTGTTTTCACTGATGCTTTCCGTGACTAGCGACATTGACTGTAAAACCCCAGATTCCGCGCGGTGCTGTTCTCCCTTTCTCTTTCTTGATCACATCCTCATTTCAGTGCTGCAAAGAAACAGTGAATAAGTAGGTTAGTGGTTTAATTATTCATGAATGTGATTCATCAGAAAAATAGGAAGATCTCTGTACAGTTAAATACATCTTCATGGATTGTATTTCTGAAAATTATTACATAGCTTATCACAAAAAAGGCATCAGAACGAACAGACGCCAAAATTACGTCACTATATTTACAGACGTTCCTGTCTTTCACTGGGTAAGCAGTCTTTAAATGACAAAAATAATTGCTGTATCTCGGTTTGAATCAGGAAAGCGTGTAACAACAGGAAGAAGACATCACCCGCAGAACAGGGAAGCAGCGCTGTCTTGTAAATACTGAGAACAACAACTAAGGCATCCATCCGGGCGGGGTGTGGCATTTGCAACAGCCAGCCATATAAAATCTCACCTGCAATCCTGAACTGTCGCGTGATTTTATATTACAGAGTGTTTGCCAATAGCACCAAAGTTATCCTTGCTCTTTCCACCCCCCATCTTACTGCTGCAGGAAGAAACAACCGCTGTGTTCGGGGCGAATGTATTTACGAGGTGTGCTCTGAGCCACGCGGGCAAGCTGAAGCAGGTTTAAAAGCAGATGTACGTGAATTTATACCAAGGAGAATCCTCAGTCAGCTAGGTTAGCATACTTGAGGGACAGGAATGGTGGGCAGGAGCGCTTTAAGCCACACACGTTTTATTACAAATGTACAGCCTCAGTTTACATATTGGGGATTAGTTTGCACTACCCCTTGTATGCAGCACTCGGCTGGAACAGAGGCATCAAGCGACACTTTTTCTTTTGAAAAAGCGGTAGCATTCTTTGGCTCTTGGCAAAAAGAAATCCACGGTAATTTTAAATATTTAAATAAAAAAATAATCTCAGTATACTTTAAAGTCCAAGGAAATGCAGGTATGATAAACAGATAAACAATATTTTCATTCTAGGTGCTGCCCATAGTTCAAAACTAAGTGGAAACACATGAAGTACAATAAAAATTAAGTTCCTTTACTCTCAACTCTTCATCGGTGTTTTCTATCCCAGCCTCTGTCATCAGGTCAGCAACGTGCTTCTCAAGGTCATCAATGCGCTCACCCATTTCTTCCAGTAAAAAGTTAAAGAAAACTTCTTTATAAATAAGAATAATGTAATTTGATATTTTTTCTTTGAGAATAACAAGCAGCTTTCTTCCAGATGTCTCAGCCTCTTACTCATGTTTAACGCAAGATGAAGCATGCACAAAGTTGTATTGTTACAAGACGATCCCGCTTTCCCTTGCAACAGAGAAGCATTCAACTTCTAAATATTTTCAATATTTAGAATATATTCAATATTTAGAATATTTCAATATTTAGAAATTTCAGTATTTTCACGGGCATTCTTCCTGCACGCCCGTGAGTGAACTGGAGTGTTTTCTGTGTAAGAGATTGTTTTCTTTCTGAGGAACTATTTCAGGCGATACAGTCAACCCACACAACGAGAATATGAGTGCTGCTAACACGTTATTCTTCTCTTACACTAAAGCAGCTGCTTCCTGAGAGGCTGAGTTTCAGAAAGAAATGGAAAATGTAATAAATTCCCAGTTTCAGAAAGCAGGGGTAGTTTCTGTAAATACATCTAACGAGAAAGCGCGGAGCCCCTTCAGCTCTTAATTTCTCTTTTTGAGGGCTGGCCTCCCCGCACTCCGGAGGCTGGCCCTTGTTTTTAAACCAACAACATGCGGCGATACGCTGATTTAAGTGGCATTTTTGAAGATGGTTGCTTTTTTAATGACCCGTCACCATCTTTATACACAATTTGTTGCTTATTTTACTTGGAAGCAACACACAGAGACTAGCTCACTGGGAGTTGTTGATCCTGCTTTTCGTAAAACCTTTTTTAGGATTTCCTCCCTAGCAAAGGGGCAAACAAACGGGCACGGGGGGCAATTCGCTTCTCTTTACGTCATAGGCGTTGAACAGCGCCAATCGTTATAGCCGAATTTGACGTTTGGGGAAAAAGCAAAAGCAGCGAGGCCCCCCTTTGCCGGCAGCCGAGGAGCGCGCCGCGCCGCGCCGCGCCGCCCGCGGGGCCCGTCCCCCCCTGCCACGCAGGATATTGCTCAGCGTGATCTTCTCGGTCAGCGCCTGGAAGCTCGCCTGCAGCTCGCGCAGCGCACTGTCCGCCTGCGGGAAAAACAGAAAGCA